CACCTCAAAAAACCCTCAACCCGTACAGCCTAAACCCTAAAAGTTCAAGGTTTAGGGTTTAGGGTTTGGGATAACCCTGAACCCTCAACCCTTACACCCCCGGACCGTAAACCCTAGCCTTTTGCTCCCCCTGCCTACACCGCGAGGAGCGCCTGGCAAAGGTCAAGTCAGTGACCAGGCGAGGTCTAGGGGTTTAAGGTTAAGGGCTTTAATTTAAGGTGTAGGGTTTAGGGGTTTAAGGTTTAGGTTTAAGGGGTTTAAGGTTTAGGGGCTAGGGGTTTAGGGTGATGGCTTAGGGTTTGGGGGTTGGGGTTTAGGGTTTAAGGTTTGGGGTTTAGGGTTGTTTGGGGGTTTAGGGGGTCTAGAGTTTCCGGTAAGGTTTGGGGTCTAGGATGCGGTGCAGAGCTTTCAAATCCTGGGTAGGTCTTGAGAGTGTTCTGCTGCACTCTATAGGCCTTCAGTCGCAAAGACAGGCCATCTTTGCGTGATTTTAAGGCTTGGGGCTGGCCCGACGACTGAAATGGGGGGGGCGGTTGGGCATGTCGAACTTTTGTGGATTTGCTCAGGGTTTTATTGCGGTTGGGGACGTTCGTGCATCAGTGTGTAAACAAAGGCGGGGCTGAGTGTGAAACTGTGGGGGTTCCGGATCTAGAGAGGAACGGTTATTGCGAGGTTCTTGGTTTACGTTTCTTGTGGTGAAGTTCAGCCTTTGCAGATGGGCATCAGAACAACCCCAACCGACGCAGCACAGCACGCATGTCCTACATCAAACGCGTAATGCTCGTAATTAACCATAGTTTCCGCTTGCTCCTCTGTAGCCAGGTTCTGAAGTTTCCAGACTAGTTCCGACTTAGGGGCTTCAGTCATAAGGATCTGCCAGAGCACTGTACTGCTACTTACAGGATCATGGGACTTAGTAACTAGGGTAATAACTAGGGTGACTATACTGATAACCCCAATTAAGGTACTTATAACCTTACTTACTAAGTCCCATGATCCTCCAAGAAAGGATCTGCCAGAGCACTGTACTGCTACCCTCCCCGGTTTCAATTTGAAGAAATCCCGACAAAGCCCCAGTTGTCGCCAGTTTCTTCACGCAGAAAGTGAATGAGCTGGCACCGCACAGCAGTGGCCCACTGTCAGAGGCCGCACCTGTTGGTAGCCAGCGTCTTGGATAACAAACAGAGATGATCAGGGCCTACAGTCGCTGACATGGTGAGCCGTATCGCAACCCTTACCCCTAGACCCTGAACCGTAAGCTCCCCACCAACCCTAATATCACTCTTCGGGTACCCTTTAAAACCGTAGCCCACCCAGCCTCAAGTTCCGACGCCTAGTCTGCCTCTGAACGGGCACTGGTACTTTTAGGCTGGCACTCTTGGCCAAGTTGCTGTGGGAATTGCTCCTAAAGCCCAAGGTGCATTTCTTGGGTACATGGACCCCGTGGGTGATGGATCCCTCACTCTCCGCAAAATCAACGAAACATCCTAGACTTGACCTTAACCCCCAACAGCCTACCTTTTTAAGGACTTCTATATAGGGAAATCATATCAGGGAACCCTAAAAAGGTAGGTTTTTTGTTTGGGGTCCAGGGACCCTAATCTCTGAGCCAAAGATATCAAACACCACAGGATGCATCTCGCTTTTTCTGCGGCTTAGGTATGACGCTCCTCTTTGATCCCCTCATGCGTTTACACTCAACCAGGAACGAAGCCCCAATCACCCAGTCTGGTTCGAATCTATCTTAAGGTCGCACATGCAACTGATCATTGAAGCCGTATGCTACGAACCCCCAACCCTGACACCCTTATTATAGACTCCCTTGAGGAACCCTATTTCATTACTTGGTGTGTGTCGCCAGGCGAAGGCGGAGCTGTTAAAGTTGCGGCCCAAGGCCCTGGGAAGTAGTAAGCAAAAGTATCTTGTATAGTCTATGACAGATATTGTAACTCCTTCTGGACGCATGTTTTTGCTATTCTTTTTCTTGTTGTTATTATCCAGATTAGTACGATTAGGATCCTGGTCATGGTTGTGATTATAGATGTGGTTGTGCTGATGATTATGGTTTTTGGTTGTGACAGGTATTGTAGATGTACGCTTTTGTGCATATGTTGATGTATGTGTGTGTGTGTGTACATACACATGTTGGGCTTTGCAAGGGGACGGTCTAGAAAAGGTTTTGGGTTTCCTTCAACACACGCATTGAGAAGTATCCTGTAGTACTTGTGTGTTTTTATCATCGTTCCGGTCTTCGACATTAGCATCATCGTCTGCAGTACCTGTACCACCATCATCAGCGAGAGCATGACCTCCAATGCGAAAGACGAGGATCGATCCAATAGCAACTCAAAGTCCGAATGTTACCGGTAGGCTCATGCCCTACCCCTTTTTTAAGGATACCTAGTTTTATTGTTAGGATCTGTTATATAGAATATTAGGTACCTGAAAAAAGGGGTAGGGCATGAGCCTCTAGGCAGGTAATTGGCCCAGAACATTAAACGAGCATGGCTGTGATTGCTTGATGGAAGAGCTAGTTGCTTGCTTTGATGAGTATCGCGGGCGCTGATAGTTATCATCGTGCGTATCTATCAGAGCAGCTCTCCTAAATGACACTATGTTCACTGCGTTCAGTGCAGCAGTCTAGGCACTTACAGTAGACTGATGCAGACGTATCCCAAACCAAGTGGCTCAAACGACCTCAGTGCGAAACCCACTGCCCTGGCGAGGCGTCGCAGCAGGCCACTGAGATTCAGAAGATCAAGGGCAAGGTGCGGGCCCTATAAGTTTGAAACCTATAGACCCTGCTTTCCTGTTAGGAATACTATCCAGAAGTTGCCTGGAGCCCTACTTTTTTGTGCGGAATACTCTTCAGAAGTTACCCCGAACCCTGCTTTCCTGTTTTGAATAAGTTTGAGCATAGCTCCCCACTATCTACAGCAGGCGTCTTAATAACTAGAATCGGGTCTGGGGGCCCATGATCTTATTGGCTGTAAACTCAACTTTTGAATTTTTGGGGCTCTTATAAGGTAGTCGTTTCTGAAAGTATGAACTGTTATTTCCTAGGCTAGGATGCCCAGTAGTACCCTTATTCCCTTTTTGTAGTCCTAGGTTCCTTATATATAAAGTTACCCAATACCAAAAAGAGAGGCCTTTTTATTCTTAGGTTACCGGGTATCCTAGTTTTACTAATAAGCAACCCCCAGAATAGTACTCGCAGTTATTTTGGGCTCGGACTCTGACCCCTTTTAGTAACCCTTATAGTTATCCTTATAGACGCTTTAAATTTAGGGGTACTTAGAAATAAGTTTCATTTTTTGTTATTATAATCCCTAAGAAACAGCTAAAATTACAATTTTTCTAAGTTCAGTATAGTATAGTTATCCCGTATCCCTATAGACCGCTTTAAGAGGAACCCTTTAAAACGAACCCTATTCTAATAATTTGGGCCCCTACAGTAGGTTGGTTGCTCGCAAGCTCCTAGCACCGGTGATCCTTCACCATGTCCCTGCCCTAAACCCTGAATGGGAGTTTCCGAAATAGTACGGGACCCGATTATACTACCCTAAATAGGATGATCCTTATTATGAGGATCGCAAAATAAGCTACCCTAATTTTCGGAAACTCCCAAATCGAGGCAGGGCTTAGGATTAGGTTGGAGGGGTTGCAATTCCCCAAGAGTCTGCCGATGCCTTAACAGTTAAAGCTTCCTATAAACCTTCAGGAACCTTGATCAAAAAAATCCAGTCCTCTACACAACCCGTAAAACCTAAACTCTACACTCTGACCCGAAGGTGGGCGCCGCAAAGAAGGAGTTCTTCAAAGCCGAAGAGGCCGAGAGGACGGCTCACCTCGAGGCTCCGACATTTAGTGTTTTGGGTTTAGGGCTCCTTTAAGTAGGGATTCCCAAAGGGCTCCTTTGAAGGCTACTATATTAAGAGTTCCGATAAAGGGCTCTAGAAGGGTTTAGGGTTTAGTGGGTTTAGGGGTTCAGGGGGTTAGGGTTCAGAGGTGCTACGGTTTTAGGGCTATTAGGGTATTATCGGGCTCCTTTAAAGAAGAGGATTTTATGGCGTTTACCCTTATACCGAACGCTACGGCCTAAACCCAGGATTTCTGGTTTGGGTTTTAAGCAGAGTTTAGGCAGGGTCGGCTGGTGAGTAGATTGCGAGGAGTAAGAAAAGCTGGCAGCTGTGGACGCCGTTAGTGTCCTTCAGAATAATTACTGTGTATCTTTCTTATTCTTACAACAGAACTCCAAGGGAGTATGAAACATGATACGCTTGCTATGGTGCTAAGGGCGCTTACGAGGTTCGAACAGCGCTTGAAAAATTGTCAGCATCATGTGCTCACTTTGCATTCATATTCATTACCCTGAGGGTCCATGTGCCAATATGGCATTGGCCTCAAAGTGCTTCAATAGACTACATCATTAGTGCTAAATTATATGCGGTATGAGTACATGGACCCCTTTGCCAGGGTTTTGGAGAGTAGGCTGCTCCGATAACAAGAGCAAAGCCGACCTGGCTTAGATGACAGGAGAGTGTCCAGGATTCACGTATCCACACATAAGGTCTTTAGTGTTTTTAGGAGTTAGAGTTGTTTATGCTGAAATGAAACTCCAAGGGGTGGCTAGGCCCATTTAAGTGGTGTTAAGGCGTACTCTATGCCTAGAGTCCTAGAGCTTCTGAAAACATTCATGTAGTTATTGTTAAGCCTTAAGCTCCAACCTTAACAAAAACTAAGCTCATGCCCTAAGCCGCTAAAATGCCCAGATAGTCCAAGAGCCACGTGTTTGCGGCAGGCCAAGGAGCGAAGAGAAGCCGAGGCGGGGGTTTTAAGACCCTTTGCCGTCCGATTTGGTGATCTGAATCCTGCACCCAGCCCGCCCCCCGCCCCCCGTGATGTAAACTCAAGACCCTACCCGCCTAGCAAAGATGATCCACGTATTGTTGGCTAAAGCCCAAGTTCAGCACAGTCCGCAGCAGAATCGCTGCCCAGCCATGACGCCGCATCAGATCATCCTGCTGTGCTCCCTGGCTTTGCCGGCTTGGGCTGGAATCACCGTGCCAGTGCACGAGCGTCAGTGCCTAGTTCATGGTTGGGATAGGATTAATTTTTCCTTATTGGGTCTAAGTACCCATAAATGTAAAAGGTTACCCAACTATGACGAAGGTGCGATGGGGCGGCATGGGTATGCCGAATCGTCTGCAGTCAAGGTATGCTCGGAGGCAAAGGCCAGAAAGCAAACTGGTGCGTCGCGAAGCATTGCACCAGGCAAAAAGCCGTTGCCGAGAGCATGATTGCGGCCGGCCAGGACTATTGCTCCAAGAACACTTGCTTCATCCAGGAGACCGAAGCGATCGGCTTGTTGCAGAGGCCCCAGCAAGGCCGACTTGCTTTAACCCAAGTCAATGCCACGACCGATTGCCTTGACGAGAAAGCAGTCTGTGGCAAGTTCTGCGATGGACTGAACTCGCCCAAAGACTTCTGCATGCCCAAGTGCTTGGACAATGTGCATGCCATCGCAGATGCCATGAAGGAGTACTGTGATGAATGTGGTTCGCCACCGGACTACAAGACCACCACAGAGAAGGAGTACAAGACGACCACCGAAGAGCCCACGACCACCACAGAGGAGCCCACCACGACCACCACCGAGGAGCCCACGACGACCACCGAAGAGCCAACCACGACCACCACCGAAGAGCCCACCACGACCACCACCGAGGAGCCCACGACGACCACCGAAGAGCCCACCACGACAGAGAAGGAGTACAAGACCACGACCGAGGAAGAAGACACCACGACACCCGTGTATCCTCCCAAGAAAGACGACGATGACGACAATGACGACAAGAAGGATGACAAGGACAGTCGCCGGCGCCGACGGCCCCGCGCGGATGACGATAGAAAGAAGGATGACGACAAGGATGGTCGCCGCCGCAAGGATGACGATGGCAAGAAGGATGACGACAAGGATGGTCGCCGTGGCCGCAAGGACGACGACAAGGATGGTCGCCGTGGCCGCAAGGATGACGATGGCAAGAAGGACGACGACAAGGATGGTCGCCGTGGCCGCAAGGATGACGATGGCAAGAAGGATGATGACAAGGATGGAGGTCGCCGCCGCCGCAAGGATGACGATGGCAAGAAGGATGACGACAAGGATGGAGGTCGTCGCAGCCGCAAGGATGACGATGGCAAGAAGGACGACGATAAGGATGGTCGCCGTGGCCGCAAGGATGACGATGGCAAGAAGGATGATGACAAGGATGGTCGTCGTAGCCGCAAGGATGACGATGGAAAAAAGGATGACGACAAGGATGGTCGTCGCAGCCGCAAGGATGACGATGGCAAGAAGGACGACGACAAGGATGGTCGCCGTGGCCGCAAGGATGACGATGGCAAGAAGGATGACGACAAGGATGGTGGTCGCCGCCGCCGCAAGGATGACGATGGAAAGAAGGACGACGACAAGGATGGTGGTCGCCGCCGCCGCAAGGATGACGATGGCAAGAAGGATGACGACAAGGATGGTGGTCGCCGCCGCCGCAAGGATGACGATGGCAAGAAGGATGACGACAAGGATGGTGGTCGCCGCCGCCGCAAGGATGACGATGGCAAGAAGGATGACGACAAGGATGGTGGTCGCCGCCGCCGCAAGGATGACGATGGCAAGAAGGATGATGACAAGGATGGTGGTCGCCGCCGCCGCAAGGATGACGATGGCAAGAAGGATGACGACAAGGATGGAGGTCGCCGCCGCCGCAAGGATGACGATGGCAAGAAGGATGACGACAAGGACGGGGGTCGCCGCCGCCGCAAGGATGACGATGGTCATCCCTATCCTCGCCGTCGGTAGAAAGAAGGGGGAGACATCTTCAGTGTGTCAGTACCGACAGGCTGGAACCTCGGGTTATCATGAAATCCCATTGTAGCTTCCCAGCAACCGACTGTGCAACCTTGGCTTTTTGCACCAAGGGTTCTAAATTTTAAACATCCTCCTAGCTTCAGTTTTGCTCGCCGCCCATCCAGCAGCAGCCGAGTGCTTGTAACGCCTGGACCGGTGGCTTCTCGAGCCCAGATCTTGGGGTTTTAGCCTTTATGTAAGGTTCAAGGTTTAGGATAGGACAGAGAAGAAGAAAGAGACCTAGAGAGACAGAGAGAGAGAGAGACAGAGACGCACCTGCCTAGGTAGAGGCAGCTTCGTTTCAAGATATGGGCTCGTGGCAGCACAGTGGCCTCCGCATCGGAATTACTCTCTTGGCCGGAGGCAAAACAAAGTTTGACTGGATTCAGACAGAGAAAAGGCGCTGATGCGAGCATCGATCTAGGTTGAAGTTTACTATGCTCGTGTGTGGGGCATCGTTTAACACCAACCACAATGAAATTCTGTTTGAAATATCATGGGTGGATATCGGCTGGAAGAGGCATCCCGCCATTGTCCATACAGCTACCTGTCTATGTTCGGAACAATTGCCATGGTTGCTGTAATACTCCTCACACCGGTGCTCAGAATCCTTTGTCCTCTGGCTACCCATGAGCATGAACCTGCTCACGAGAATAGCGAAATTTGACCCAATATAAAGCCGTCTTGAGTAGGATCGTTACGTACAGACCTTCGAAGCACAACATTGTCACAACATTGGTGAAGAGCCATACTTACTGGAATCCCTACTGTGCAAAAATCAAGACAAGACATAATGGTGATAGTCCCAGCAACGATCCAAAAGCCGTGCTGCAAACCATGACCGTTATGCCTTAAACCGAAAACCATGAGCCCAAAAATCTTACACCTAAACTATGCACCCTAAACCCTAGACCCAAAACCCTGCACCCGAAACGGCAAAAGCGCTAAACCTGGACTTAAGTATGAAGGGACTTCCAAGTTTTTAGAAGCCCGAAACCCTTGAAGTAAGCCCCAAATCTCGAAACGCAACCCAAAGCTTAAACTTTGCCAATTTCAAACGTCCCTGAACGCAATACCCCCTCTGTCGCTTTAAGAAACTCTAGGCTGATCAAGTTCTAAGCAACAAAAACAGCAAGCCCAAACCTAATTCTCGAAAGCCCTAGGTTAAACCCGACATCAAAAACAGTTGTTCAAGAAACCATGCGAATGCAACGCTTAAGAAGTCCTAGGTTTCACCATAAAAGAATAAAAGTCTTAAACCTTAAACCCTAAACCTAAGTTTTCAGAAACCCAGAGACTCCAATATCCCTTAAATAAGGAATTCACCTTAAGCTGTAGTAGGATCCCTAATGTGATTTAAGGTATATTCCGCAATCAAGGGATGTTGGAGTCTCTGGGCGTCCCTGGTTTGAAGCTTGCCCCAAGGCCCTCCTTGCGGAAGCCAACAAAACGCTGGAAGCAGCGGAGGCTATCTTTGAGCTCTGCTCGGTTCCCTCAAATGGGAGTTTCCGAAAATTCGGGGTTACCTTATTGTGGCTCCTTACAACAAGGATCCTACAATTTAGAGTGCTATCTTGGGATCCTCTATTTTCGGAAACCCTCAATTCCTAGGCTTTAGGGTTGGTTTCTGTTTTGACAGTTTCGTGATACATCTTAACATGGTGGGCTCCAGGGTGTTGAGTTGGATGTGCAGCTTCTTTAAATAATCGAAACTGGAGCTTGTAGGCTTTTTGTTTGCAAGACGGAGCCTTCTTGTTTCTTGAAATGGGGCTGAACACGGAGGCTTTTAAGTCAGGGTTGGCTGGTTCTTGAGGGCTTAGGGTTCGGTTAGGGTGTTTTTTCGTTGTGCTCCATTATGGTTTACACGGAAGTATAATATGCCTCTGGGGATCGTGAGCAGCCCTTCCACCTTAGGTAAATGTCTGCAAATATATGTTTCCTAAACTAGTCGAGACACCGTGTGTGCGTGTATACTTAGTGTGTTCATGCTTTGTGCATAGCCGCAAGAGCTGTCGTTTTTTGCAGGTACGCGTATGTTAATGTTTGAGCAGCTGCCTTGTGGTATAAGACATGACAGATGAGTTTAAGAATATAATAATGTAGGACGAACAATGCAAATCTATCTGATGAAGCAGTACATCTTGGCCTTGTGGGGCTTAGTTGGGATGGTGTGCTCACATTCGAGTATATGCTTAGACACAAAGCCCTAAAGCCTATCCTCTCCCAAAGGGTCTACAGTACCAATATGGTAGAAAGTAGGGTTTCTATATTAGGATTTACTATCATGACTTCGGGAGGTATGCCCCATACCAGTACCTAGCACCCTGCGGGACTAAACTCCTTGCCCTACTTTGAGGATCATGGGACTTAATAAGTAAGGTTATAAGTACCTTAATTGGGTTTATAAGTATAGTTACCCTAATTATAACCCTAGTTACTAAGTCCCATGACCCTTTAAGTACACCCTGAAAGCCGTCCGAAGCAGCGCACGAAGGCCGAGAGTGCAAAAGTCACCAGCGCCTCAGAGGCCCTTTTGGCAGCACAGGCCCGGGGGTTTAGGGTTCCTGAAAGGGATCTATAGGGTTCCTTAAAGGGATCTATAGGGTCTAGGGTTTAGGGTGCAACTTGGAGGATCATGGGACTTAGTAAGTAAAGCTATAAGTACCCCAAGTGGGGTTATAAGTATAGTCACCCTAATTATAACCCGAGTTACTATGTCCCAGGATCCTTTAAGTGAGGTTTTAGGGTTTAGGGGCTTTTGTCGTTGGGGCATAGGCAATCTTCAACATACTCCGGTGAATATAGCTTTAAACCCCATTGAAAGGCTGTCCTTTATTGGCCTGGGGCAGTCAGGCAACAAATTTCAGCGTTCTTAGCGCATGGAGGTTCGGTCTGTTGGAGGAGTTTATGTTATTGGGTCTTCATACCCCGCGACATGGTTCTGCACGATCGATCGGCCCACTTGAGATGTTTAGACATGGCTGTGAATGCAGGCATGCCGGCACCAAAATGCATTCCCTTCATGGCTCGGTCCTGCTTTTTGTGGGCAGTGCAGATTGTATGGACGCATCGGATTTGTGTGTGTGGGGGCGTGCTTGAAGGTTCAGGAGTAGTTATAAGTGGAGTTACAAGTCCCATAATCTGGGTCTTAGTTATGGTTACCCGACTTCTAACCCCACTAAAACTACGCAGGAACCTCCAAGTGGGTGCGGAGCACTCTCGAAGAACATTTATAGGGGCCTCAACAATTACCTATACTATTTTAGGGTGTTCCTGATTGTACCCTCCAGAGCCCTGTTCGCGCGCAACATGCGACGGGTTCAGGCTTGCGATTTTGCTGCCGGGCGCAGTACTTTCAGGCATTCTTGCTTCTAGAGGGTGCCAACGTACTGGTTTTTGCAGCATTTCCTGCACGTGTCCGGGTTGTTCCCGCAGACCTCTGAGCCTCGAAGAAGCTTCAGCCATGATGACGTGCAGATCAGACTCCATCCATTGCCGCAGAGCATCTATGTGCCAACCATGATGACGTGCAGATCAGACTCCATCCATTGCCGCAGAGCATCCATGTGCCAACCATGATGACGTGCAGATCAGACTCCATCCATTGCCGCAGAGCATCCATGTGCCAACCATGATGACGTGCAGATCAGACTCCATCCATTGCCGCAGAGCATCCATGTGCCAACCATGATGACGTGCAGATCAGACTCCATCCATTGCCGCAGAGCATCCATGTGCCAACCATGATGACGTGCAGATCAGACTCCATCCATTGCCGCAGAGCATCCATGTGCCAACCATGATGACGTGCAGATCAGACTCCATCCATTGCCGCAGAGCATCCATGTGCCAGCCATGATGACGTGCAGCTCTTCGCCTGAAGAGAAAAAATACAGCATTTTTTCGGACAGTCTTGCGTGGCCCAACATCTCGAATTCATTGGCAGGGCCAACGAATTTGCAACATGCGCGCCTTTGCGCGCGCGCGAACAAAGCCCTGGCGCGTTGTAAATATAGTATAATGGGCCCCAAAACCCTATTCTAATTATCAAGGCCCCGAAAGTATTGTCTTCAACAGGATTTTCACTGCTGGGATGCAGCAGGTGGAGCTTTGTGGGTTCTTGTTGGGCTGCATGCTTTCTTGGGCTTCGGAGTGTAGGCAGACTGTTTAGGGTCTAGGGTTTAGGGTTTTGGTTCGGATTCTTCCAAGAAGATGAACAACAATACCCCATGACAGCAACCATTCGAACCATGATGCCTCTCCGATGACTCGGTGGCGGTTGGAGAGCTCCCGACCTCTAGAACTGCCACTGTTAAAGCAAAAAACGAAGGATATTAATGGCAGTATCCGTACACCCTGGACACTACATCCAAGACCTTTAAAAGCTAAGAATATATAAAAGCCCCACCAAGCCCTATACCGTAAACCTTAACACTAATGAGCTAGTAGTAGACGAAGCCCCATAATACCTATCAGCCCTGAACCCCCAACCTTAGCAGCAATGATACATAGTACATAGTGTCAACCCTGAGCCCTCAAGGCCAAGCCTTAACAATGCTGACAGTAGTAGTGTGGTAGCAGCAAACAGAACTCTCATTGTTATAGTTGGGTGTCATTTTACATGTTTATGTGCACTTAAACTCAGTAAGGAATGTAGGTAATTATTTCGGCCCCCTATATTATAGTACCCTGATCGATCCCTTATAGTATCCCTTCATAAGCCCCTAATAAAGAAGTTAAGGTTGTTTAAACGATCCCAACCACGAACTGGGTCTCAGGGCGAAGAGATGGCTACTCAGGAACCTCGGAGCTCCCATAAACCCTAAACCCTAAACCTCTACTTAAAGGATCATGGGACTTAGTAACTAGGGTTCCTTAAAGGGCTCCTTTAAAGGGGATCTATAGGGGGTTCTATTATAAGAGGGGCTTTAAGGCTTAAAGGATCATGGGAT